ACTCATACAACACTCATTTATTAAGTGCATGTACACGCCCAGCATTCTCGTAAGCACAGGGTTTACAGTGAAGAACTAAATCTATATAGTCTCTGCCTTCGGGGAGCTTACAATGAATAGCATTGGGCATAGACTTTTAAGTGCTCAGAAATTATTTTCCAAATGAACAACACTTGCTTGATTTTTAGTTATGTAGTTCTACGCCATGCCGGATTCCGGCACTTTCTACGGCCCTGTCCCTCCTTCCTCATTGCCTAGAAGATTATCATTCCTCAACTTCTCCTGTGGATCACCTGCCTCTCTCTTCTCCACACCAAACTGTTCACAATGACTCCCCTAATCTCCCCAGGTTCTCTCTCCCCTCTGCCTCTGCATGCCCTCCACTCGACCCGGAACGGCCTCCCCTAAAATTTCATTAGTAAATTGATTTTATCATTTGATCAAATGTGTACAAATCTCTCAAGTTCTTCAGGCAAAATGTTTCCATCAAGTAACAGAAAGCAATGTATCAAGTGACAATTCCAGATTGAGTAGTAAAGAGAGTTGAAGGACAAACGATCCAAGGTTACTTAGGTAATTTCTTTTCCTCTCCAAAATACGAGATATTTCCATGACTTTCTGGATGTTGTGCCTGCAGAATTGGGTCAGGGTACAAGGGCAGCAAAGTTCGCATGCGGAGGGGTCTGTGCGCTCCATCGCTCACCCATAAAAGAAATGTTTCATTTACAGTAAACAAAGCAATTTGGCACAGGAGCTATCACTTAAAGGTCTTCCCCACATGAAGGTCAATAGTTTAGCGTCTAAATTATTTGAGAGAAATTTCCTTTTCTAATAGCAGAAATTGCAGCTGTACTTCACTTAAAAAGAAAAAAAAGTCCGATATTTATTCTCCTAGGCAAGAAGGCAGATAAGGTAAGTCACAACTTCCAGAGCTGCCTCCACAGCCTCATTTAGCTGATAAGAACTTGCACATAACCTCTAGTCCTTCACTTCTAAGAGCCCCGCATCCATCTTTCTCCTCCCACTTCCGGAAAGAGAAGAAAATTAGGCTGGAGCCATCTGTTTTGAAGTCCACGACAGCAGGGGCATGGGTGTAAGCAGTTTCCTTCAACAATACACATTCCTCTCCAAGTTCAGGGACGGAAGCCCTGGGCTTCACGGAGAACCACACAACAACGATTCTAAAGCTGGGGCCTGAGAGGCAGAGCTTCCCACAATGTCTACACTTCTCTTACAAGGGAACAGCTCCGTGAAGGTCACCCAGCCATTATGAGGGCAAATGTCCTAAAAGGCAACAATCCCATGCTCAGAATTGCTATCCGGGGCGTTTAAACTTAGTGCCCTCAGCCAAGATTTCCCCTAAGACATAAGGGATGCGATGGGCTCGTCTCTGTGCTCACCACGGCTGTGACCTGCTGTATTACACTGCCCTGTACCACAGCACCCTATTCTCCTGGCTCACTATGTGGACATGGCAAGATGGCCCCTGTCAGCCAGGATCTGGGTCTGTGAAGAGTTATCTAACAATGGTTAGGCCTTTACGAGAGTGCTGAATTCACTGAACAACATTCCCCCTAAAAGTTTCAAAGCCAGCCTAGGTTTATAAAAGAGTGCACCAATACAGTAATTAAATGTCTGGTCTTTGGCAGCCAGGACTGGGATTCAGACCTAGCTGTTTTTTACTACCTGAATAACCTTGGGCAAGTCACTTAACCACTCTAAGCTCTTAAAAGCTCCTTATCAGACCCTGCAAGTTCCCATATGATCTGGCCCCTGCCTACCCCTCAGACCTCATCTTATACCACTTTCCCCCTCTTTAACTGCCTGGACATACTGAGCTCATTCCTACCTCAGGGCCTTTGCAAATGCTGTCTGCTCTTCCCCAGAGTCTCAACTGGCTGGCTACTTTTCATTACTCAGGTCTCAGCTTAAATGTCAGAAAGTCACCTCCAGAATCTCATAAACATGTTCAGTATGTGAGTGCAGGTTGTGTAACTCCACTTACATAAAGTACAAAAAGGAATAAAACCAGTGTGTGGTGGTATAAGTCAGGGGACTTGTTACCCTTTTCAGGGTGGAGGTAGTGACAGGAAGGAACACCACGGGGCCCTCTGGGTTGCTGCTAAATGATTAGTTTCTGGATCTGGATCTGGTACCTGGGCATGCTCTGTTTGTGAAAATTCACCAAACTCTTCACTTATAATATGTACATTTTTATTACGTATGTTATATTGTAATAAACAAATTAAACCAAACAAAAAAACCACCTTGTCAAATTGGTCTTCCTTGGTCACCTAATCTACACCCACTCTCTTAGCTAAGTTGTTCATTCTCCATCCCATGACTTTTTTATTTTCTTCATAGCATTTGTCACTGGCTGAAATCATCTTGATCATTGTCTATACATGTACAGTCTAGCCCTCCCCCACCCTCATTAAAATAAACTATCATGTGGCGAAGGATTCTGCCTGCCTTGTTCACCAACCCCAAATCTCAGCGTCTAGAACAGTCCTGCCAGATGGCATGGGCGGAATAAAAAATATATGTAAAATAAGAAATGGATAAAGGGACCCTTTGAGGATATAACACCAATCAAAAGTCAAAATAGTCAAACCAAGAGCAGAGAAAATAAAAAACTTCAATGACATTAAGCATGAGGAATATGTGTCAAATGATTTTAAATTTAACCTTGGAAAGGGGGCAGATAAAGTGTCACTCTATGTATCTTTGTGATAGTGGTTAAAGTTACTTCTCAAAGCAGACACTGGGTCTTTTATCTCTGTACAGCCAACAGTTTTGCACAAGGCCTGGTACACAGTAGGTCTGGGCTAAGAGAGGCAACAGATTTCTGAGACACCTGGTGAGTATTCTCAAGTCTGGTGGAAAAAGTGGGTCATGTTCAATTGTAATGTCTGCCATGGGCAAGAAGCTAGGTAGTCACAATATCAAAGCAGACTTACTTAGCTGGAGCAGATAACTAAGAAGCACCCAAGAATCTGAAAATAAAGTTCCTTACAAGTCACCAGCAACACTCACCATTTTTATTGCCAATTCTAAGATGCTTATAAAGAAAAAATTAAAATGTGTCAGTAATGCTAAGAGACTTGGATGTTACATAATTACTACTGGTATGCAGACTAACTCACATGCTGACATAATGTATTTTCATGAGGAAATCACAGGCAATAGCCTGATGTGATGGAAATTTAAAAGTAAACCTTTATTCTGGAATCAGCTCTGCCACAACCTCTCTCTATAACCTTGAGCAAGGCATTGAAATTCTTTAGACTTCAATTTTTCTACCTGTGAAATGAGCTGGTTGGACTAGATGCTGGCTAATGCCCATTTCCAGTTCTTGGACACTGTATACTATTTCCAACTTTAAAAAACATTCTCCTCTTCTAAGCCTTGTTTACAGGATAGCACATCATCCACAACTATGTAAGTCAAGGTTACCAGATGGAGCGAGGTAACGCCCTTTTACCTAGTCTTCTCGCCAAACCAAGGGTATCTATCCTGGAGCAGATTCTCTGCAGTGCTGTGTTCAGGCTCCCACTTCTTGGTTAGGCAAGAAGCCCTATCATACTTCAGCTAAACACCTGGGTTTCTCTGTACAATTACTTCCTTTGCTGGAGTTTTCACTGCCCTGGGCCCCATGTTTCTCATCAATTCAAGTCTACACTCATAGCCCCACAGTTCTTGTTTTTTGTAACACTTACATAATGAATAGGACTTGATCACCTGGAGGTATTCTCCTTACTCTATCACAATAGTTATTAGTTATTTTAATTAGACAAAACCGCCATTCCTTTTGCTATCCCACCATACTGTCAAGTGCCTATTAAGGATATTACAGTAAAAAGTATTAGCACCTTTTAAATTTACATTAACAAAAACAGAGAACTGAGAAGCCAGGAAATGAAAGGAGCGGAAAAAAAAAAAAATAGAACACCTCGCAGATGTCATAATTAACCAAAGTTCAGAGTAACTCAAAAAATCATTAGTAGCTATCTTTAAAATTTTCTTAAAAACTATACTATGCATATCCTAAATTGCGTGAGTGATAATTTGCCTCTCATCAATTAAAAATGGGAAAATGGACACGAACATTGCCCTGCTGCAGCTGAGCCCCACACTGTCCTCTCTTTAAAAGTGGAGAGAGATTATCTGTGGAGGAGAAGTTGAGTCGTTGAGTGATTTCTCCAACTGTTATCATCAACTCCTAACCCCCCAAAGGCCTCCTGACGACTGCGACTCTTGCCATCTGCAGAACGTGAAATCTAGTAGGGGCCAAGTTCTAACAGCTATTCAGCATCCACCACTGGCCCCCCTGGGTTTTTATTCTCCATAAACAAGAAGAAAGCGAACAGGGCCAATGGTCTGAGGCGTTTTAGCGACGGGATTGATTTTTCATTGAAAGAAGGGAGGCGGTTTCCCACTCTAATCCTTTGACCTTCGCATTTCACCAACTCAGGCGCCCCGGAAGTCTGCAAAAGCAGGAGGCAGCCTGCAGAGAGTTCACCCCAGGAGGCGAGTTACTACTACCAGCTAGTCTGGGATGGGTTTCTAGGCAGGTTCATCACGTGGCCTAAAAATGCGCTCAGGGACACAGACGTTTCAAAAGCAGAACTGGCAAAACAGATAATAAAACCTCAGGACTCCAAAACCCGGTCCGGAGAACTTTCCCTCAACTTGCATGCAGCGCCTGGTACACTGCCAGGCGCCGTCCGCGTGAGCTGAGGCGACCGACGTCAGCGACTCCTGCGGGGCCAGCTGGGCCTGCCGTCCCCCTGGGCCCCGGGCCCGCACCCCAGCGGGGGGCCGGGGGCTCTCGTGCGCCCCGGGCGCAGCACGGCGCGTGCTCCCCGGAGGAGGGGCGCCCGAGCCGCGCACGCGGGTCAGAAGGGGGACAGGAGAGGAGGAGGAGGGCCGGGAGGGCCAGGGCCGGCGGGCGCCCCGCTAGCGCCCTTCCCGCGGCTCCTGCCGCGGGGCCCGCTCACCTGGGACCTGGCCGCCAGGAGCCGGGGCCGGAGCGCCAGGTGTCGCAGAAGTTTCCCGGCCTGCGCAGCCACGGGGGACGCCATCTTAACCAGGAAACCCGGGCGGGGGAGCCGGTCTGAGCGCGGGCAGGGGCAGGAGCGCGAGGGGAGGAGAGGAGGCGGGCCCGGCCGGCCCCCCGGACCGTCCCCCTGGGCTCGGCCCGCCCCGGGTCCCGGGGGACGCGGCCGCACCCGCGGGGCGAGCACCTGACCTCCGCTCCTGCCCGGCCCGGCCCGCCGGCGCTGCTGGGTGCACCCCGACCCAGGTTCACGTTTAGCATGCAGACGCCGGGAGGCCTTCTCGCTGTCCTACCCTGGGTTACAATGTCAGCAAAAACAGGTCCCGAGTCCTGGGATCGTGCGGCTTAAACTGTAGCGGGCAAGACAGACAGACGAATATCAGTCATTGCAGTGAGTGCTAGAAGGACCGGCCCGGGGAGCTGACGCCATCTCCCAGAGACCTCTGTCTGCCCTGGGGTCACAGGGGCCCGCCCGGGGAAGCGATGTTTGAGCTGAGACTTGAAGGGAGGCGAGGGGGTCTGGTGAGCTCGGTGGAGACCCTCTACACTTGAGTAAGATTTTTTTATCCTTAACAGAATGTTAATGCAAAGCTATTGAAGAGTTTGAAGCCCAGCAATCACCATAAGAGCAGACATTTATCTGGAATTTACACGACTCTAACCACTTGTACATGTAATAAAAAATGGCAATAGCAAATCTGCTTAATATGTGCCAAGCATTTTGCAGATATGAACTCATTTAGTCTGCATAGCAACCTTTCCAGTAGGTACCAGTGTAGAATCCTCATTTTGCAGAAGAGGAAACTGAGGCACAGAGAGGGTAAGTAACTTGATAAGGAGTGGAAATGAGATTTAAATCCATGCGCTCTCTCTTCCCACGCCCTCTTCTCCCCAGGCCATCCAGCACTATTTTAGAGTTTTTTTAGCTTACTTATTCTTGAGCCTATGATCATGAGAAAAGGTACAATGTAACAGAACTAGGCAACTACTGCTTCTAGTTCCTTCCTTCCCTCTTTTTTTTTTAATTTTTATTTTGACAAATCAAATTTACAGAAAAGTTGCAAGAGTATTATCCCAAAATGCCCAAATATCCTTTACGCAGATTCCCCACTTATTTACATTTTGCCCCATTTCCCATTCTTGATAGATAGATATAGATACATAGATTTACAGCCCGTTCCTCATCACGATTTTACCTGCTGGATTTAGTATCCGTTGATGATTATTGCTTGAGTCAGTTGTTATTGTGAAGGTTGCAAAACTGTGATTGTCTAATTTCATCCTCTTCTACATTTCTTAGTTTAAATTCTACTCTGAGAAGAACTCCTTTCTCCCACATTTCTTTATTTATTCTTTTATGTATTCACTTGTATCAGTATGGACCCATGGATTCCTTTTATTACGTTTGTGTGTGTGTGTGTGTGAGGAAGATCAGCCCTGAGCTAACATCCGATGCCAATCCTCCTCTCTTTTTTTTTTGCTGAGGAAGGTTGGCCCTGGGCTAACATCCGTGCCCACCTTCCTCCACTTTATGTGGGACGTCACCACAGCATGGCTTGATAAGCTGTGCATCGGTGGGTGCCTAGGATCCCGGCCTGTGAACCCAGGGCCGCAGGAGCGGAGCACGTGCACTTAACCACTTGCACCACCAGGCCAGCCCCCTCATGGATTCCTTTTTATTCAGTGTCAAACCTATGCTTTTTCCTATTACATACACTCTGCTGCGTCTGGATATGGGTCATTTAATCCTCACTGGAAGCCTGCAAGAGGGTCCTACTGTTATTGCCATTTTGTCAGAGACAGGCCTGGACCACAGAGAGATTATGTAACTGGCCCAGGATCACAAAGCTTGGGATCACACCCCAAAGCTGAAATCTAACCACTCTACTCCACACCCTCCCCTTGACATGAGTGGATCTGAGTTCCCATCTCATCCATCATTACTCCTACTGGGTCTGCTATCTAGCCAGGATGGAGCAAACCCTCTTATTAATGTTTGTAGACTGAATATTTAAACTTGGTGAGACCTTTGAACATGTCAGAAGGAAGCAGATCACCTGTAGAATTAATCAAAGGCTGTTTATTCAGACATTACTATGATAAGGGAGTCAGCTGCTATCAATTTCCTTCTAGCAGAGACTAGAAGAAGATTGAAAGGAGAAAGCATTTTATAAAGAGAAAGCAGAGACTCTTAAGACAGTCTTTAATTGAGGAGTTCTATTAGGATGAAATTTTTCTATTAGGGCAGGATTTTTGGAAGTGGAGCCGGGAGTGCCTTTCTGATTGCCATTCAAGTACATTTGGCAGTTTTGATTGGTTCACTATCTGTTGGCACATAACTGAGAGATTTCCAGGCTGGGCACAATCATATGAAGTTTCTTATTTCAATTAGAAGACTGCCTGGTCCTCAGGTTTGGGGCCCAAGTCTTGCCTTAGCAATTCCTCAATGTCTTCACCCACATTCTCTCATTCTGCCTTCTCTGCAGCTGAGGGGCTGGGGAGACGGAGCAGAAGGACGTTCATACGGTATCCCCAGTGCCCAGCACTGGGCCAGGATTACGGAAATGTGCAATAAACACATGTAAGATGAATAACACTTACTGAGTTCCCCCTAAGACTTCTCCCTATTTTCTACCCTTTTTTTCCCAAACAGGAAGCTCTTTGAGGTCAGGGATTCTACCACAGAGTTCTGCACTGTGCTTTGCTGAAACAAGTACTGGGTTTTCAGTAAAACTTGATTGGATTCAAATCCCTCCTTTACCCCTTATAAACCTGTAAAGTCTCTACTTCATAGGGTGGTAGTAGGTATTCAGTGAGCTGTTGTATGTAAAGACCTTACACAGAGTAGGGGCTTAATAAATGTTATTTTTCTTCCTGTAATAATTTCTTAATAAATATTTGTTTGATATGTAATGTGAAACACCAGAGCCAGTCTGAGATGTGGGTTAGGTCTCTGACACTTTGTAACTTATCTTGATAGCCCTGGAGAACTGTGGAGATGTGTAAATGCCAGATGAAAGTATTAAAGTATCCAAAGTGATTGCCTCCAGGAAGAGGGTGGAGGGTAGTGATCAGGGAACCATTGTATTTTTAGAGCTTCAAAAATGCAGATTCCAGGGTGGCCCCATTGCATAGTGATTTAAGTTCAGCACACTCCACTTTGGTGGCCCAGGTTTACGGGTTTGGAACCCCAGCGGTGGACCTACACCACTAGTCAGCCATGCTGTGGTGGCAACCCACATACAAAATAGAGGAAGATTGACACAGATGTTAGCTCAGGGCTAAAATTCCTCAACAACAACAACAAAAATGCAGATTCCTAGACTCCACTCTAGACTTAATGATCACAATCACTTAGGATGGGGTCCAGGATCTGCATTTTAAATAATCTTTTCAAGTGGTTGTTTAGTTTGAGAAGTAAAAAAAAGCAAACAAATCAACCCATAGCACAAACTTGCAAGTTTCCTGGTGAATCAAGAGACAAGTTACTTTGCCTTCCTCCACTGGGTTTCTAAACATAGAATGAAAACTGATACATTGTAGATGGAGGTGATGAATAAATGCTGTTTTCAGAGAGCCTTGAAGCGTTGGTACAAAACTCATCTTCTACCAGGAGTCTAGGTCAGCTGCAACATGTGGAAGCATTGGGTAAGGGTGAATAAACAGCTATTCTAGGCTTTTTCTTTATCAAAATTTCAATTGTGAACTGCTTCAACAGTAACTGTGGCCATAGGCAGTAGCACTATACAAAGCATTCTGTACTGTCTAGTATCAGATTGAAGCACAGACGTAGACATCAGATAAACTGAGTTCAAGTCTTGACTCTGCGATTTACAGTCTCCATGACCTTGAGCAAGTTACTTTACAGGCTCAATTCCTTTATCTGTGAGAAGGGAATGATAATAATACCTATTTTGCCAATGAGATGCATTATCAAATGCTTGAGAGCTCAGTGGCTGTTATCCACCACGCTTTCTTTACTTGACTAAGAAATCCTTTTTCATATTTGTTTCTTCAGTATTCACATCTATGAGCCTCTGTTTCCCCATTAGTAAAATGAAGGCCAGGTATGACAGCATCTTACATGAACTGGGAGTTAACAATATAGCACTTCTCATCAACTTTGCATACGTTGGAAATACTAAGTTCTTTTTTGTGTTTGGGTTTTTTTTTGCTGAGGAAGTTTCGCTCTGAGCTAACATCTACTGCCAATCATCCTCTTTTTATATGTGAGCCACCGCCACAGCATGGCCACCAACAGACGAGTGGTGTAGGTCCGCACCTGAGAACGGAACCCAGGCCGCCAGCGCAGAGCAGGCCAAACTTAACCACTAGGCTGCCGGGGCTGGCCCAGAAGTATTAAGTTCTAAAACTCCATGATCAAACTTTGGATTTAGAACACCTTGCCTACACTGTTTCTTATTCAGTTAATCATTCCAGTAAGGAAAATAAAAGCATCAATAGGCCCACACACCTTCCCTTTCATCTTAGCAGTGCATGTTAACAGTGAAATAATGTGCTCATTTTCATCTCCACACTGATTACTCCAGGGGCCCTGATTTGCCAAAGAGGCATGTCATGAAATCGAGCGCAGGGACTGTGTATCTAGCAGTTCCAATGGTTGTTTATCATTACCTTTTCATTTAAGCTTAAAAACCATTTGACAAATACAAACTCATTATAACTAGCAGAGCTGAATAGAATTTTTTAAGAAATAGTCCTAATTTTCATGAATAACGTATTTGAGTTCATGCTGCTGTATGACAGGAATGAAAATCACTATTACGATGATGAAATAAAGGGCATTTGTAGATTTTGTTTGCTTTTTTCTTTTTTAACGGATAACAGATTTCTTGAATTTACAGGCAAAGAAACTTTGGCCTTTCATTATGTACATGGGTAATATCTCTGCTGCTGTTTGTGACAGCCGTTTTAACCAATGTTTCAATTTTGTTACTTGCCAATGGCACAGAAAGAACTTCCATGGTGCTAAAGTTGTTTTTCCCTCTTCAATAATGCATTAAAATGATTAATTGTGAAGGTATTTCTTAGCAGCTTGTTTAAATTATAAGGTTCCCAGAAGAAAGGAA